CTCTTGTAAATCTGTTTTAGTTCTTTTTAGATTCTGGATATCAGCCCTTTGTAAGATGGGTAAACTGCAAAAATTTTTTCCCATTCTGTTGGTTGCCGATTCACTCTAATAACTGTTTCTTTTGCTGTGCAGAAGCTTTGGAGTTTGATTAGGTCCCATTTGTCTATTTTGGCTTTTGTTGCCAATGCTTTTGGTGTTTTGGTCATGAAGTCCTTGCCTACACCTATGTCCTGAATGGTTTTGCCTGGATTTTCTTCTAGGGTTTTTATGGTGTTAGGTCTTATGTTTAAGTATTTAATCCATCTGGAGTTAATTTTAGTGTAAGGTGTCAGGAAGGGGTCCAGTTTCTGCTTTCTGCACATGGCTAGCCTGTTTTCCCAACACTTTAATAGTTAACTGCCTCTTCCTCAGTTCTTACCCATACCCACCAGGGATCTTTCTGTTTTCCTTGGCATAAAGAGTTATATTTGCAACCATAGATTCATCTCTTCAGCGAGCTTCCGTCCTCACCTCCTTAATCTCCAGCCCACACTTCCCACCAATGGCACAGGCATTAGGTGCCAGGTGACAAAGTCAAGTGTCTTCTCCTTGATTCACGTTGGTGGACCAGGTGGCAAATGCAGTCATCCTCACAGATCTTTCTAACGTGGGTTTTGGTTATGCTTGCAATGTGCAGGACCCTGTGCCATGCTGGACTCTGAGCTAAATGCCTGCTGGGAAATCTGACCTAGGGAGACAGCCACAAGGGTTTTGAAGTGTCTGTTGGGGCTCCCATCTTCTTTGGAGGGGGCTCTCATCTTGAATAACGGATGCAGTAGTCCCCTCTTATCCTGCAAGAGATAGGTTCCAGGATCCCCCGCTGATGCCAGAAACTGCCCTATACATAATTTGTTTGTTTGTTTGAGATGGAGTTTTGCTCTGTCATCCAGGCTGGAGTGCAGTGGTGTGATCTCAGCTCACTGCAACCTCCATATCCTGCATTCAAGAGATTCTCCTGCCTCAGCCTCCCAAGTAGCTGGGACTATAGGCATGCATCACCACACTGGGCTAATTTTTATATTTTTAATAGAGACAGGGTTTCACCATGTTGACCAGACTGGTATTGAACTCCTGACCTCAGATAATCTGCCTGCCTCAGCCTCCTAAAGTGCTGGGATTCCAGGCATGAGCCATCCACGCGTGGCCTCAAACCCTATATATACTACGTTTTCCCCTATATTTACATACCTATGAAGAAGTTCAATTTATAAATTAGGCACAGCAAGAAATTAACAGCAATAACTAATCACTTTTAAGGCACACAACACCCTCTTGCCCTTCTGCCTACACTTGGGCAAGCTGATAACAAAGCCTGAGGCTCCCTCCTTTGGTACCAGCAGGAAATTGGAAGCATGGAGGCCCTGGCCTGCTTTCAGCAGCCTCACTCCACCCACTAACCACCACAAAAATCCCAAGTCAGTCTCCTTTCCCTGTTCTTTCAAGCCACTCTTTTGGCCAGCAGTGGAAGTCTACGCTGCTTTCCCCAGAATGCCTCCTTAGGTGAGTAATAAGTCTTTGGTACCATGTTGGTATGTGTGTCTGTGGCAGCATCAATCTTAAATTATCAACCAGATTTTGGGTGAGGCTCCCTTCTCCCTCTGGGTGACCATGACATCCCCTTTCTTATTTTTTTCAGAAAGATATATTTGGTAACGTTGGATCGTCTCCTTATTTTCGCCATGTCTCTTATCTCTCTGTATGCCATCCTCAATCATTTCCTTAGCTCCTCTAGTTTACAAACTCTCTCTTCAAGTATCTCAGTAAATCCTTAACATGTTCTTTGAGTTTTATTTCAACAGTTACATTTTTACTTCAGGAACTTTGATCATTTTCCAATATGCCAAGTCAATGTTACAGTCACTCTTTTCTTATTTTGGAACTTTTGAAATCACTTTTGCAAAACTATGACTGAGACACTGAGGGATCTAACCTAACTCACTCCATCTTGCTTCTAGCCTTTAAGCTGGCCTTGTTCCTTCCTGGGCGTAGGCTAAACTAACTTTGGGAGGAACTTAGTTTATAGTTAAAACAAGGATGATAACAGCCCTTTCCCAAAACAAACTCAGGTTTGGCCAATGGGATGTAAGCAAAAATAATTGTACTGATTTCAGGTCTGCCTTATAAACATCTCCTACCCACAATCCTTACTCTTTCTGCATCTGCCTGCTGAATGGAGAGGACTCTGAGAATTAGAAAAGGCACAAAATAGGAAGAGTCTCGATCTCTACATGACCTGCAGAAACGAGAGCCCTCCTGTCAAGACTTACTGCAGTTTGATGTGAGAAAGAACCAAGCATTTGTGGTGCAAAGCCACTGAAGTTTGAGAGTCATTTGTTATAGCAGTCAACATGGTATAACCTTGCCCATACATACTAGACAGGGGACCAGAGAGCTTTGAATGACTTAGCCCCTGAGTTTGGGAAAAGAGTTCTTCCTTGAGTACATTGCCCACTCCCTGTAGAGAAGGATGAAGGCAGGAAGGGGAGTGGGCGTTGGGGTTTAGACCTGAGCTAAACCCAAGGCATAGGAGGACTAGACTCTTACTTGGGGACTAGACTGCCATAGGACTAACAAATCAGCCACGAGATTAGAAATTATGGTTTAGGAGTCATGCAGCTGGAGGCTACAAGATCCTGATACTCCCTAAACCACTTCTAGATAAGTGCTTGAGACATTTTGCAGACCCTGAACTGGATGGATCAGCTGGCACCACCCAGATCCATATACTGGCTCATCTGATCTTGTGGCCCTCACCCAGAAACCTACTCAGCACAAGAGGACAGCTTCAATTCTCTATTACTTCATCTCCTATCTGACCAATCAGCACTCCTGGCTCACTGGCTTCCTCGCCACCCACCAAGTTGTCCTTAAAAAGTCTGATCCCACTGGGCACAGTGGCTCACGCCTGTAATCTGAGCATTTTGGGAGGCCAAGGCAGGCTGACCACCTGAGGTCAGGAGTTCAAGACCAGCCTGGCTAATATGGCAAAACCCCATCTACTAAAAATACAAAAAAAGAAAATTAGCCAGGTGTAGTGGCAGGCGCCTGTTATCCCAGCTACCCAGGAGGCTGAGACAGGAGAATTGCTTGAACCCGGGAGGTTGCAGTAAGCTGAGATTGTGCCATGGCACTCCAGCCTGGGCGACAAGAGTGAAACTCCACCTCAAAAAAAAAGTGTGATCCCCGAATGCAAAACTCTGGTCACCCACACAGCCAGCTCTGTGTGAATTACTCTTCCTTTATTGCAACTCCCCTGTCTTCATAAATTGGCTCTGTCTAGGCAGTGGGCAAGGTGAACCTGCTGGGTTACACTTTCATGTCTTATTTTAAGCATTTATTTTATAGTTAATAGTTTAATTAGCTGAAATTCTTACAGGTCGAATCTTGCTGCTTGCTTTGTAAGGCTATGGGGACATCCTTTTCTCTTTGAATAGACTTCTCTAAATCTGGAAATTGATTTAGACAAGTAGCATATATTAGAGAAAACATACTTAAATAGTTAATGTGATCCATCAAAAGGAGATTTTAGACTGTGTGGGGTGGTTCACACCTTTGATCTCAGCACTTTGGGAGGCCGAAATGGGTGGATCGCTTGAGTCCACGAGTTCAAAACCAGCCTGGGCGACATGGCTAAACGCTGTCTCTCCAAAAATATAAAAGTTAGCCAGGCCAGGTGAAGTGGCACATGCCTGTAATCTCAGCTACTCAGGAGGCTGAGGCAGGAGAACCACTTGAACCTGGGAGGCAGAGGTTGCAGTGAGCCAGGATCATGCAACTGGACTCCAGTTGCATATTAAAAGACATGAAGGCCAGCAGCAGTGGCTCACGCCTGTAATCCCAGCATTTTGGGAGGCCAAGGTGGGCGGATAACAAGGTCAGGAGTTCGAGACCAGCCTGGCCAACATGGTGAAACCTCATCTCTACTAAAGACACAAAAAGTTAGACAAGCATGGTGGCAGGCGCCTGTAATTCCAACTTCTCTGGAAGCTGAGGAAGGAGAATTGCTTGAACCAGGCAGGTGGAGGTTGCAGTGAGCCAAGAAAACCCCACTGCACTCCAGCGGGGAAAAAAAGAGAAAAACTCTCTCAAAAAAAAAAAAAAAAAAAGTTTCTTTAAAAGAAACAACTTTCCAAGGACCCCTTTTCTTCTCTATCTGCCTAAAATAATTTCTTAATAACTCCTACAGCATTACAATAATTTTTGCTGTCACACAATATAAATCTTAATTATTTTATAACACTGGTCCTATCCTTTCAAAACATCACAGCTGACTCAACACTAGTTGGGTAAGAAATTCTATATTTTGCTTCACTGATTGTCAAAACTATAAAAAAGCTACAACTTTAAAAAGTTTCATGGAGTAGGCTGGGAAACACTGATGTCATATTGCAGAAAAATCTAGGCTCTGAAATAACAGCACGTCCCACCCAACCCAACCCCTCCCTAACTGTTTTCCCTTATCTCTGATAGCTGAGCAATTATGTTAGCAAAAGCAAGAGAATTTTAAAAATGAATGTGCCTCCTAAGAGCTTTCAGTTTATCAGGGCTGATTTTTAATATTATTAAGGCTGGGCACAATGGTTCACGCCTGTAATCCCAGCACTTTGGGAGGCTGAGGCTAGTGGATCATGAGGTCAACAGTTTGAGACCAGCCCTGCCAACATGTTGAAACCCTGTCTCTACTAAAAATACAAAAATTAGCCAGGCATGGTAGCACGTGCTTATAGTCCCAGCTACATGGGAGGCTTAGGCAGGAGGATCGCTTGAACCCGGGAGGCGGAGGTTGTAGTGAGCTGAGATTGTGCCACTGCACTCCAGCCTGGGTGACAGAGTGAGATGCCATCTCAAAATATATGTATATATATGTATTATTAAAGTATTAATATTTTAATATTAAATTTTCTTTAGATGATTCAGCTCCTTATAGAAAAGGATCCAAGTAGGGCCAGACTGTTGTCCACCTTCTTCTGGGGGACCTCTTAGCAAGACAAAAGATTATTGTGGGGTTTTGGCTCCATAGTTTGGGGAAGTAACTTGGAATGAATATTTGGCATCACCCGATCTTAGACGGTCACAGCTTCAAAGAGTTCACTCAGATCCTCATTAGCTGGATGTGGCAGAGCATGATTCAGGCTTTCTTCTTCTCACAAACATTCTTTTCAGACAGATATAGCAGTTTGTCAAGCAGGTATTCTACCACAGATGCCTGATAACTGAAAGCCAAACAGCCATTTCGCTAAGTATGGTTGCCATTGCTCAAATGCTTGTGACACTAGCCAAAAGGAAACCGCAAATCAGCCCTGGTACACTGAGAGCTCTTGGGAGGCACATTCAGTTTTAAAATCCTTTTGCTTTTGCTAACTTAATCACTCAACTATCAGAGATAAGAAAAAACAGTTACGATGGGGTTGGGTTGGGTGGGACGTGGTGTTATTTCAGAGTCTAGATTTTTCTGCAATGTGACATCAGTGTTTCCCAGCCTACTCTGTCAAACTTTCCAAAGTTGTAGCTTTTTTTATAGTTTGACAGGGAAGCAAAATAAAGCATTTCTTACCCATCTAATGTTGAGTCAGCTGTAATGTTTTTAAGAAGGACAGGACCAGTGCTATACAGAACCTAGCTAGGGTGCGTTTGCCCAGCACAGTAAGACCAAATGACTGCACCATGGTTTGCAGCAGAAGAAAGGAAGATGTTTATTTGCAGGGCACCATGCAAGAAGGACCAGGCAGCTAATGCTTAAATCCTGACTTCTTTGGTGGCTTACAGGTGTCAATGAAAAGAGTCAGACTCTGTAAAATATTTAAGGAGGTGTATTCCAAGCCAAATATGAGTGACCAAAGCCCAAGGCAGAGTCTCAAGGGAACTTGTGCCCAAGGCAGTTGTATTACATCTTGGTTTTTATACATTCTAGAGAGACAATAAGACATTAACCAATACATACAGGGTATGTATGCATTGTATTGGTTTCATCCAGAAAGTCAGGACAAAGTTTAAGAGGGTAGGGGGAGGGGAAGGTCATAGGTGGATTTAAAGGTCAGCATAAAAGAATGTTAGCTCTGCTTATAGGTGTAATTTTCTCCAGGCCCCTCAGGAAGAAATGTAGAACAAAAGAGCAAGACATGGTGGTCAGAGTTCAGTCCCCAGTTCCCTTTATCTGAGGTCTGCATGCTGGTGGATCTATTTGGTAAGGATCTGGGTTTCTGAAAAGCAACTTGGAGACATATGTTATTAGCTGTCGTTTTTATAGGAAACCATATGTCCTTTGATTCTAGCTTTCTTGGCCATTGTTTTTTTTTTTTTTGAGACAGAGTCTCACTTTATCACCAGGCACCAGGCTGGAGTGCAGTGGCACGATCTCGGCTCACTAAAACCTCCACCTCCCGGGTTCAAGCAATTCTCCTGCCTCAGCCTCCTGAGTAGCTGGGACTACAGGTGCACGCCACCACACTCAGCTGATTTTTGTATTTTTGGTAGAGACAGGGTTTCACCATGTTGGTGTGGATGGTCTCGATCTCTTGACCTCGTGATCCACCCCCCTCCGACTCCCATAATGCTGGGATTACAGGCATGAGTCACCACGCCCGGCTGTTTTAGGCTACTATTAACTTTTTTTGTTGTTACTAATTTTGAGATGGAGTTTCACTCCATCTCCCAGGCTGGAGTGACCTGACCTAATGGTGGCCTTGCTCGTGACCACCATCCCGGGAAGGTCTATAGCAGTCAAATCTGTACTTATTGTGCCTGTGTATCTCTTAGGAATCTCCCCTCTTTCCTTTTTCCCTTCCTATCAGCATATAGCTAGCTACATTCTGACAATTTAACAGCGGAATGAGCAGTGACTGGGCATCTGATGGGGTATCTGGGGCATTCCTTTCTGCATAGGTATCTTCCCCTACATTCATATTTAGCCTGCAGGTTTTGGGTGGTCTCTGCAGCTTCCTCCCTGAGGTGTTCCGTTTCCTGCTCGTGTCTAACTGTGTGCCAACTCTATAAACGCGAAAAACGAGAATGCTTGCCTCCCCGACCAAGCCTTGGGTGTCAGCACCAGCGAGTGTGGTGGGCAGGGAGGGTCAGGCATGGTGCTGGCTGAAGAGGCTCAGACGCTTTCTGGGGTTTTGTGCCACCCTGCCTCCTTAAAACACCACAATTCCTATTTTTCTACACCAACCACTTAGCATTTCCTTTCCCCAAAGCTTCCATCTCTATCCTGAAGGTTTATAGCCTGTGAGATGCAGAACTTGGTCTGGGTAGGGGTGGATGAGGCACTGCAGAGACTTTGAAAAGAAACTGGGCAGCGGCCACCAAGCATTGTCTCCACACTTATGTCAACTACAGATGACACAGGCCCATTAAAAATCAGGTTCCTTTAGGAGTGGTAATGAGGTCATAGTAACTTTTGGTGATTTGATGTCTCAGTCACACCTTTCCCATGTCAGTGGAATGGCAGAATTCATTTTTTTTTTTTAGATGGATTCCCACTCTGTCACCTAGGCTGGAGTGTAGTGGCACGATCTCCGCTCGCTGCAACCTCTGTCTCCTGGGTTCAAGCGATTCTCCTGCCTCAGCCTCCTGAGTAGCTGAGATTACAGGGGCATGCACCACAGCCCAGCTAATTTTTGTATTTTTAGAAGAGATGGGGTTTCACCATGTTGACCAGGCTGGTCTCAAACTCCTGACATCAAGAGCTCCGCCTGCCTTGGCCTCCCAAAGTGCTGGGATTATGGACTTGAGCCATCACACCCAGCCAGAATTCCATTTTAGAGAGACGTTATCATACTCAAGATAGGGAGCCACTGAGATAGTTTTTAATTGGGGATTCTACTCCAAACTGTGATTTCTTCTCTTTCCTCACTAAAAGTCTGCATCTTTCCCAGTACAGTATCAACGAACACCGTAGATCCACATTGGCTCCGGTCCCCGTTTTCTTGGCTGTTGCAGAGGAAAGAGCAAGGCTTTCGTTTAAAACATATCCCTTCAATTTTCCAGCTGTGTAACCTTGCACTTACTTAAATTCTGATCATTTCTTTTTCTTCAGAATATGAAAAATCCCTGCCTACCTCCCAGAGACGCAGTGAGAATCAGGTGAGAATACATGGGAGGGGTTAGGTCATCAGTGCAGGAATCGGTATGGACAGACGCTTACATTCAAGTCAAACGAACCTGCCTCATGAACTCACTTGAATTTAAGGAGAGAAATTGCAGCTTACTCATCAAATATTCTGTCTGAAAGATAAACGCCTGTTTTCTCTCAGTCAGCTTTTAGAAGTTGGAAGACTTCCAACCTGAAGAGTATCTCTCTCATGGCCCACATGGCCGTCTCCACTTCAGGTGTGTTGACCTGAATGGAAAAAGCTTAGGCAAAATCAACATAAGCGGAGAGTTTACTTGGGCCAAGCTTGGGGACTGCAACCCAGGAGCATAGATTCAAGTTGCCCTGAATATGCGCTCAAATTTGTAGCAGTTACAAGGGATTTTTTTTTCTTTTACTCTCACACAGTGACAATGTCATATGGGAACAAAAGGATTTTTAAAGGCAAAACTTGGAGGCAGGGAGCGGACGGAAACAAAGCTGTTTATCAGGAATTCTCATTGGTTCACAGAAATGACATCATCTAGAGATCGGCTATACGTTGTTAAGCCATAGAATGTAGAGTATCGGGTCTAATGTGGCATTATCAGGTTAATTTATTGCTACTTGTGGCAATAGCAAGCAGTTGATGAATACGGAGCTGTAAGCGGCGAGTAGAGCATGATTGCTTTCTCAATTCAATGTCTCTCTGGCCCTGATAATTAAAAGGAATTGCCTTCCTCATATAAAAGTTATTTTCTTTTTCCTTTTTTTTTTTTTTTTGAGATAGGGCCTCACTCTGACACCCAGGCTGGAGTGCAATGGTATGATCACAGCTCACTGTAGCTTCGACCTCCCAGGCTCAATCGATCCTCCCACTTCAGCCTTCCGTGTACCCTAACTAAATTTTTATTTTTGTAGAAGCAGGGTCTCACTCTGTTTTCTGAGCCAGTCTTGAACTCCTGGGCTCAAGCAATCCTCCTGCCTCAGCCTCCCAAAGTGCTGGGATTACAGGAGTGAGTCCCCGCACCTCACCTAGAAGTTTTGTTTTCTCAGATGCTTCATCAATGTAAGCCTCACCCCCATGCCAGGGTTTTCAATGTGTGTGTGGTTTTTTTTTGAGACTGAGTCTCACTTTGCTGCCCAGCGTGGAATGCAGGGGCATGATCTCAGCTCACTGCAACCTCTGCCTTCCAGGTTCAAGCGATTCTCCAGCCTCAGCCTTCCGAGTAGGTGGGACTACAGGCACCCAACACCACCCGCAGCTAATTGTTTTGTATTTTTAGTAGAGACGGGGTTTCACCATATTGGCCAGGCTGATCTCAAGCTCCTGACCTTGTGATTTGTCCGCCTCGGCCTCCCAAAGTGCTGGGATTACAGGCATGAGCCACTGACCCCGGCCCTATCATCACTTTATATCAAATGGTCAGGCCTCCAAGCTCAGCCTAAGATTGACCTTTTCTTCTCCAGATTTATCATCCCTAGGTTTGGCTGAGAACTGTAGAGTCTATTTTAAACAGTAGAAAATGGATATGACTTAAATCAACATGAGACTTATTCAGTGTGATTCTCTTCCTGCCACCTTTCCCTAAAAGCTTTCTAGGAGGAAAATAGATATTTAAACCACACAGACATTTTTCTTAGGTCCCAAACAAGGGAAAGGTGCATTTCACCTTATTAAATCATTTGTTTTTACCTTGGAGACACTGTAAATGTTGAAACTGATAGAGTATTCCTTGTTTCTAGGCAGCTCAGGGCTGAGTTTTTAACCCTCTTTGGCAACTAGGAAGGACTCGTCAGCAGTAATTTAAGTAATGACACTACTCCTGGCTTCTCTGTATTTTCCTACGTTTTATGTTCCCGCAGTCTTGAGTTTCTCATTTACTTATTTTTCATTGTATCATATTGTGTGTATCTTTATAACCTAGCATTTAAGGATAGGGTGAGAGGTAGAAAATGATTCAAATACCTACTATTTATCGAATAAGTAGACACCAATAACTGTGCACTAACTCATTCAGTGACCCCCAACAATGCTTTTATGAGGTAGACACAATTATTGGCCTCCCCATTTTACAGAGGAGGAAGCTGGAGAACCAGAGATGCAAAGTAGCTTTCCAAGATTATACTAGTAGTGAGCATGTGAGCTGGAATATGAACCCAGGAGTTCTGGCTCCAGAACCAAGGATAGAATCATGTACACGTGCAGAAAAAGATGGATGCAGGGTGGTGAGGAGACCCTGGGTTTCTAAGAGAAACTTCATTATCCATGTTGTTCAGCTGTTTGAAGAGGGCCCTAAAGTATGCATGTGGGTAATAAGCATAGACACACATGAATATGCGTGCTTCTTGCATCATCAGTGTTATGGAAGGTATGCAAGAAACTGCTAATTACAGTTATGTCTAAAGAATAGGGGAGAGGGAGAGAAACTTTTGCTTTTCTCCATATATTTATTTGTGTTGTTTATATGTTTCGATATAATGTGTAACTAAAGTATAATTATCACCTAGTGTAATAGAATATTAATGTGTAAGGGATCTAAAATCATGGGAGGAGGCAGGGTGCAGTAGCTTATGCCTGTAATCTCAGCACTTTGAGAGGCTGAGGCGGGCAGATCACTTGAGGTCAGGAGTTCAAGACCAGCCTCATCAACATGGTGAAACCCTGTCTCTACTAAAAATACAAAAATTAGCTGATTATTACCAGGTACATGCCAGTAATACCAGCTAATCTGGAAACAGGCAGGAGAATCTCTTGAACGGGAGGCAAAGTTTGCAGTGAGCCAAAATCATGCCATTGTGCACCAGCCTGGGTGACAAATCTAGATTCCACCTCAAAAAAAAAAAAAAAAAGTCATGGGAAGCATTTTCCCTTCCACACACCACGAAGGCAGCTGAGTGAGTGCTCTGTGTTCTGGCACTCTTGTTTCATGGTGTGTTTGGGGAGGACATGCAGGGAGGGGTCAATATTGAGGATTCAAGGGCATTTCTTTCAATTTCAGGAACTCTCCTGAAGTCAGTCTACAGCTGGTGTTTGGTTAGGACACGGAGGCTGATAGGGAGTGAGAGAATGAAGGTGGCATGATTCGGGTGGGAGGAGTAGAAGGGGGACGATTCAATGCCGGATTACATGTAGGGTATGAGAGAAACCGAAGCATTTGGGTTGAGCTATCAGAATGGGAACACTGGAGGGAGTAGATTGGGGTTGAGGTTCCCTGAACTGTGTCTGACATGTTAAATTGACACAGCTGACAGACATCCAGGAAGGCTGTTGGGTCTATGAGTCTGGAGTTCAAGGGAGAGTCCAGGGGTGGAGGCTTTACTTCCAAAGTCTTCAGCATACTGATGGCACTTATAGCCATAGGACCTATTGTTAGATATAGTGAAATCCAAGTTTCTCTTCAAAGAATCAGTATGTCAGTATGTTCAGCTCTTTTATTCTTTAGTTCTCCATTTTAAAGCTTAATTTACTTGTAGTTTCAGTAAACAACCTTTTCCACCAGGTCTAATTAGTAGTTCACATCCCTCCCCACCCCCTCAGTCCCTTGCTCCATCCTTAACCCAGTCACCTGCTCCGGTCACCTGCCGGGTCACCTGCTCTGGTCACCTGCTTTGACCTGAGTCACCTCTGGTCAGCTGCTCTGACCTGTCCCATAACTGTCTTTTCCTGCCAAACTACCCACCCTGCCACTCCAGCTGGTTCTCTTGCTATCTTTAAAATAGCCACTTGGAATTAGCTTAGACTGTGCAGTCTAACCCTAGCCAACAGGGGAATGACACAGCAGTAGGAACTACCTGCATCAGAAATAAGATCCCTTTCCCCTCCCCTGTCCAGGTGTGTGCTCACCATTGTTCCATCTATGAGACACATCCTTCTATAGAAGTAAAACGCCTTGCTGAGGAAATTTATATTTGAGTGCTACTACTTTTGCAGCACTGAAAATTTACATGTAACACTATTGAGATCACTCAAGAAGAGGGTGTAGGGATCAGTAGCATCCAAGGGAGAGAATACAGTCACGGGTTCTTAGTTTCTCTTTCCATTTGGGTCAGTAAAACCCCTTCCT